TGGTTCAAGGCCAAAGAGAAGTCTAAGATCACATTCTAGCATTCCTGGTAAAAGGCTTGTTTATGCACTTTTTTTTTTTTTATATATAAATGGTTTAGTGGTTAAGTCCAGCTTCTGTTGAAATTGATCTTATCCTTTAATTTTATGTAATACTCTAAATTATTAGAGGATCATTTAGGATAGTTACATGACCTTGTGTTACTTAGATGCTGTTTAAAATCCATTTGTATAATAGCCAAAACATTACTGGGCTCTCCTAAATCAGGTAACTTTAGCCATTTAAATGACTGTTTAATCATAAGCAGGATTAACCTGGGAAGAGATCAGTAAAAGATCAACCTCACTTTACCCCTAAAGCTGTGCTTCCTTGCCTTTAAGTATATCTCATCACTGCTGTCTCCCCAAATCCCCCTGCCAGACAGAGCTCTGCCTCCTCATCATCAGGACTGTCACTTTTCTGCCCCAACTTAGCAAAGTGGTGGGTCTGATATCTGGGAATAACAGGAGGCCTGGAGAACAATTTGTCTGTCTGTACCGACTCTCCTCTCCCTTTCTCCCCTGGACTCAGAGCACTGATCTCCTTGCTGTATTTTGGCACCTTCTCTTCACCAAGAGATGAACCTGCAGGCCTACAGATGGTGTGAGGACAGAGACAGGACATAATCTGCCTTGTAGCACAATTTATCCCTTCTGCTGCACCTGCAAGCTCAGATTCTCAGAGCAATCCTTCTGGCTTTTACTGCCCTGTATTTTATGGGGGCGTACCACTGATGTTTGCATCACCATTTGAGAAATGCTGCTCTTGAGAATCTGAGTGCTTAGAACTTCCTCTGTCTCAGCATTATTCCAATGTGTGGAGTACCTTCTTCCTGAAAAATGTTATTTACATGTCTATGTCTGAATTCAGGATGATGGACATAAGGATGCCAGACTTGAAAAATTGTTCCATGTTTTAAAGAATTTCACAGCTTTCCAGTGACCATTCCTCAATTTTCCCCAAGGAATAATTCAATCTCCTCCTTCTCAGTAATTTTGGAAATAGTAGATGTGCATTCTTCAGTATCAATACCTTTATTTCCATTTGACAATTCTACAAATCTGACAGTAACTGAAAATCATTATCCATTTCATATTGCTGTTTTCTGTCATTAAGCTATCGCTTTTGTTCATGCACAGGTTTGCTATTAATTTATCTACTATCCATTTCAGTATGAATGTCACAATTCTAGAGTTGTTTACACATAAGCCTATCACATATACAAGTCAGAGAAGAAAAACGTAAAGAAAAAGTTAGATTTTAGCTCCATTTCTGTCCCAGTCTGGATTTACGGGGCAGAGAGAAGGACTAAAGATGCTTTATAAACCTTAGCACTTCCTGGTGAGGTGAACTTGCTTGTATCACGTGCTAGTAGCTATGCAGCTGGCTCTACCTATATGGCTTCACCATGCACTTGCACCTCCTTTGGTACATCACTTAATCCATGTTTCCCTATTGCTGACTAAGAGTTTAATATAATTTCTGAAGATTATTGGCTTCTTAAAACAGACTGGTGAGAATGCTCTTCTTCCTCTGGTATTTGTAAATAACCTCACACACCGAAGGGACTCGTTGCTTTAGGGTGAATAAACAGCAGGGATACTTGATGAACAACAATAGGTAGTGCTGCTTTACTTCAGCAGAGTTTGTCCCTTTTCATGAATGCTTATGTTGCACAAGCAATTGCAGCATTGCACTGCATCAGCACTGTTCCTAATCCTGATTTGGAAACATCAACTGTTAACTTGACAAAGCGTGACACATGGTATGTTGAAGTGTTTTCAGCTGCACTAACACAACAAATTGTAATGGTTCCAGAAGAGCCATTTCAGTTGATTGTGTCAATAAACCACAGCCCACAAAGAAAAAGACATGTGGTCAACCTGAATAAAGCATCATCAAATCACAAATAATAGATTAATTGTCACAATTTTTGTCCTCATTTTTAGAAAAAGAATTTTGCAGGAAAAAGAATCCTGTAATTCCCAGAGCTTTTGTCTGTGATGAATCAGAAGTCTAGCCCTATGGCACTTACCAGTTTACAACATTTCATAATGTCCATATGTAGAGAGTGTGTGACTTTGTTCTTCATAGTTCTGCTACAAAATGAGGGCTTGTCAAGTGTTCTCAGTTTAGGTCAAAATGTAAGCTGTCCATGCAACTGGACTTTCTCCAGCTTTTGTGAGACATAGGCCAACTGTTATTTAAGGAACACTTCTGTATCATTTCCCAGACTAAGTGCCAGCAAACACAAGCTTCACATTACTTTTTTTTTTTCTCCATCAGTTAGTTCATTGGGAAGAACTACATCTGCTTGATGGTAGTGCAAATTTTCTGCTTTCATAGTTAGGCTGATGGTATACACAGTGAATTCTAACCTCATTGAGACTATTAAGATTTCAGAGTAAGTAAATCAGGGTACAATCTGACTTAATGAGACTAGCCACTAGGTCATCAATTCTGTGCGTGTGCTGCTTTTTCTGTTGCCCACATACCAGTCAAAACCCACAAGGAGCTATTGTGCTTCCTCAGAGATCACTAACATTAGATAAAGATTGCTGGCCATGACACTTCAGTGGCTCAGCAAGGATGTGTGTTACTTGTTAAGCACCTGGAACTTGAGTTACTCTGTGGAAGACTGACGACAGTCCCCGAAATTTAAAACCCCCTGAATAACCGTAGCAAAATGACCTACAGCAGGAGCCCTGGAGGAAAGAGGTATGCTAGTTTTGAAGACTCATTTCTTTTCACATATTCTCCGTGTTAATATATACCTTTTTGCATTGTTAAGGCAGCAATTTTTGACTAGGAAGCATGTGAGTTTTCTTACTAAGCTACCTCATTTCTTTCTTCTGAAACCATCAGTAGCAAATTACAGTTGGTTATTTGACATCAGAAATTAAATCCTTTTAACTGCTCATTTCACATACCTGGCAAATAAAGACACTTATTAATCACAGAAATTTGTGTGCATGTATATGCACATGCAAACACATAGCTTTTTTTCATTTACATCATAGTATATGGGGCGAAATGCACTTAAAATGTAAAAAGGTAAGCCAAGTATTTGCAGTTGTACTGAGTGGCAGCAAATGTAGTATCCAGTTGCTTAACAAAAGGATTTTTCTGTAAAACTAAAGAATTGGGTAAGATTAGTTAGTTTATGCTAAAGGTAGATATCATTAAAGAAATGCACAATGCTAAAGAGAAGAATAACTTACTCTGTAGACTATCCGAATTTCTCATTTTCCCTGCAAGAGACACTAAAACTGAGGACCCCTGGAATATGCTCACATAATTGAAAAAAATGCCTCACCAATCAACTGGGGAATTTACATCCATTCATCTTAATCTGATACTGATAGTTCCTCAGGCACACACTTAATACACAATTGCCCAGAGCTTTTGACCAACTTCAGCCAACAGAAGGGCTCAAATATAAAATCACAGAAGCTGGAGATGAAAGGACTTAGTCACTCAATTTGTTAAACCATTTGCTGTGTTATTTTGGCTCCCTGTAGTATACTGTCAAATACACTTCTGATCACCACTTGGACTTTTGATGTCATTTGGATTCTGAATTACTTTGGCTTCACATAGAAATGAATGGATTACACTCATCCATCCGTGGGTTATTCATCTGTTCTGTTCAAGAACACTTGTAAGACAAGGATTTTGCCAAAATTAAATAATTCAAGTGTTTCCCGTTTTCTGAGAAACCCCTTCATTTCCAATTACAGGTGCAATTTTCTATATAAAATGAAAAACTTTTTCTTCTATTTAACACACACAAGTATGATTTATGAAATGTTACTCAGGTAAGACAAGCTTATTTTACACTTTATTTACTCGGGACAGAACACTGATGGGAGAAATAAATGAGATAGACAGGATGATCCACAGTGGGAGACACGACTTGCTTTATGTCACAGCCAGAAAGGAGCTCTGGGCCTCTATCATTACAGACCATTGACCTCAGAAAAACGAAACACACGTTGGATTGGGCAATTGGAACAAGCCAGACAGAAGGGCTGCTCATGCTGTCATCTGTGAGAAGAGGCTGGCTGGTTTTGAAGCATAAAACTGGCTCTAGGCTGAGCACCTGTCTGCCTCTTCTCTCTCAGAGCTGCCTACCATCCCAGTCACTTGTTGCATCGCCCACAGCGCTTTTCTTTCCACTGGCTGGAAAGCAATGCACCTGTAAGACTACAAGATGAGCATGATGGTTTGCCTTAGGTTAGAGGAGACAGCGCAGTGAATATGAATCACTTTTATTGTTTTTTTTCCGCCCCGAGCCAGCCGGGCTGGTAAGATGTCCTCTCCCGCTCGGCTGCCAGGCTCCGCAATACGCCTTTGCCCTGAAGTGACGCGGGCGCCGGTTCCGATGCTCGCGTTCCCCCCGCTCTGCGGAGCGGGGACGGGGTCTCACCGTCCTCACAGCCCCGGCTCGTCCCTTCCCCGCGGGAGCGGCTGGAAAGGGAGAGCCGGCCATCGCCCCCCGGCTGAGGCGGCCAGAGGGAGCAGCCCCTGCCATCCCCCGGCTCAGGGGCCGGCGGCAGGGCGAGGCCGGGTCCCCTCGCCGCCGCCTGATGTAGCGCAGTTTCCCCGACCGCGGCACCGACGCTGCCCTTGCCGCGGCTCCCCAGGGCCAGGACTCGCACGGACCCGGGAGAAGGGGACGCCGAGCGGATCAGGGCGGCGGCTCCGCCAGCCCCCGTTGGCGCAGGGCACGGGCAGCCACCACCCCCAGCACCGTGAGGCAAAGAGGGAGGGAGGGGCGGGGAGGGCGGTGCATCCCGGCCGGTCCCCCCCCACCGCCACCGCCTCCTTCTCCACCTGCTGCCGCTGCGCCAGTCGCCGGCTGGGGGGAGCCGCCCGCCTGCCCGCTCGTCCCCGCGGGGCCCCTTTGTGCTGCTGCTGCTCCAGAGCTGCCTCAGCCAAGCGCCGGCTGCGTCACGGCCCCGGCGCTGCGGCCGCCCAGAGCCACCCGCGGAGGGAGAGCCGCCGCCTCGCCCCCCGCTCCGCCATCGCTGCGCGGGCCGCGGCGAACGACGCCCCCCGAGGAAGGGCCGGGAGCCGCGGCGGTGAGTGGCGGCCGCGCTGCCCCTGCCCCGGGGAGGGGAGACCGGGAGAAAGGAGCGGGGAGCCCTCCGGCACGGCACGGGCAGGGGAGGGGGCGCGGGGAGAGGGCTCCGGAGCTCTGCGCATCCCGCGGGCTGCGGGGCGATGCCGCACCGGGCCGCACGGGCAGCATCGCTCGCATCGGGCTGACGTGCCGCGGATTCTGGGGTGCTTTTTTGTGTGCGCGATGGTGGGGTTTTTGTTTGTTTTGTTTATTTTTTAATTTTTATTTTTTTTAAACTTCGATAGTAGAAGCTTTGGCCATGGTTCTTACTTCGCAGAACGCTAAAGCCTAACCCAGTCACAGCGACGAAGGCATATTTTTTTTATTATTATTTTATTTTATTTTTTGGCCATAAGGTATTTCTGACCCGCTGGGGAAAGGTCTGGTTTGTGATATTTTGCATTTCTGTGCGTGTGTGTCCGTGTGTGCTTGCAGAAAATCCCTCTATCCTGGAAGAATGGTGAAACTGGGGAATAATTTCAGCGAGAAGAGCACAAAGCAGCCCCTTTTGGAGGATGGATTTGACACCATCCCCCTGATCACACCCCTGGATGTCAATCAGCTCCAGTTCCCACCTCCTGATAAGGTACAGTAGGCTTTAGTTTCCACCCTGGAGAATCACACCCAAATCACAGGCAAACAACAAAAGAATAGGTTATGTGTAACGAGCAGCTTAGAAACGGCGAGAAATTTGGGGTGCTTTAAAGCATGCTAGTTCCCGCTGGGGAAAAAAAAAAGTTAAGCTCATGAAAATCCAGTAATAGTGATTTGCATTAAAAACCAGTGCAAAATGTTAGCAGTAAGCATATTTAGATTTCAGTGTTGTGTATGAAACATATAGACACATAAATGCAAGCTTCTCTATGCTGTATTGTCATAACCCTTCTTATTCTGCATCTTTCTTTTTTTATTATTATTTGTAAGGTACTGTGTATTTTGTGTGAATGATGTGAATTTTCTCTGTCCAGAAAATGCCTCTCTGATTGGGGGATAAAACCCTGCTTTATTTCTCTGCAACATGGGGACAGGCAGACTGGCAACAGAGAGCTCTTCCATCTTCCTTCTGTGCTTCAGTAGGAAACTAATGCTAACCCCAGACAAGCTGAAATAGATGAGAATAGGTCATTGAGTTTTTTCCATGGCAGTTTATTTGGTTCAAAAACCTCGAAATAGGTGATTCAGATCCTCTGTAGTTGGAAAGGGACAGTCCAATGAGTGCTTACAGGTTGGAAGAGAAGTGTGCTTCCTGCATTCCTTATTATATGGCTTAATTATTAAGGATTTAATTTTAAAGCTTTAGGAAGGTGATGTGATAGCCTATAAATATGTTTATTGTCCTCACAATAAAGAATACAGTAAGTGTTACTACATGTAAGGCACAGAGTAGTAGGATAACCTTTTCAGGTTTTTCAGTATCCTATTTTAATAGGATACCTACTTATACATTTCTCACATGCATCTGGCAAAAAAAGCTTTGTGGTCTTCATACAGTTTTTATTTTTGGCCTTCCACACATTCAGTTCTACTTCTGGTTAAACTGATATTTACAGGATATATAGATTACATATAATACATATACATACAAACAGATATATTCATTCCTCAAAGCTCAAAAAGATTCAGATAATAGTATCTTAGGGTAAAGAATTGTAGCTTGTAAAATTTTCCTTGGTAGAGTGTTGCTTGTAGGCAATACAAATAATTTTTTGACCTCCATTTTATTTGCTATCAACACCATTCTGTGTTGTGTGTGGTGACCAGTTGGCAGGCATAAATGCAATAAGCCATAACAGCTGTTGGAGAGCCTGAGGGTCCATTTTATGCCCTCAGTTACATGGGTGTAAATCTTGTAACTGAGGACAAAATCGCACCCTAAGGCTTTAAAACAAGTTCAGTCTTACAGTGTCTGATACGCCTGCCAACTGGTGACTGGATATAACCGATTACAAGGGACCAGTGTCCAAAGGATTGCATTATGTTCCTGCACTGCTAAGCAGAAGTCTGAACTAGGGATCTGTATGGTAATAGGTTTAACCTGAGCAGAGCCTCTGTAGAGAGCTCAGGAGGTTCTCTGCTGTCTCTATGGCTCCTACTAGAATGGGGCAGAACTCCTCCCACCTTTAATGGCATTTGCCTCGAATAAAAGCAAATGTCCAGCTAGGCTAAAAGCTGAAATAAGGGTATATTTGATTGTTTTTTTACTCTCCACTGTCTAATTGTGTATTAGTTTTTCTTTCCTTTTGCAAACATGGGAAAAATTAAAGCCATGAATTTATTGGTCCTGCTGGTTTCCTTCTGTAAGTGGTTAGTCATGTCATGTCAGTGTCTCTTTACTGGCACAGACTCAAAGGCAGGAGCAGAGCAACTGATGTGAAAAGAAGAAAAAGTATTAAGGAAAGATTGGCACACAGATCAAATTCTGAAGTATGCAGACACTCATGTATAATGAATAGGAGTACATACTTCATATATCTATGCTTATTATTCACTTACAAGGCTCCAGTATAGCAGTGAAGCATAACTTCTTGAAAAGTAGTGACTACAGCGCTAAGGATTTGATGATTTTGACAGTTTCTAAATTAAAGGGGTGAAGTGATTTAAATTCCTATTCAGATATGTTAAACAAAAGAAGACATTACATAACCAAGCAGTTAGAACTGTACATTCAGTGTCAGCTGAATGTGATTTGAGTTGCCTGAGATTACGCAACATAAAGGGGGGAGGAATGTAAGTAAAATGTTAAAAAGCATTTCAGAACTCTTCAGGCAGTTTACTTTCATGGTGCTGTTGGGCAGTTATAAAGTTAAAATAGGTAATAACTACTATCTTACTAACTAAGCTGAAAATAGGTAAAGAATTTGCTAAACCACTGTCCTGCACAAATATGTGTAATGCTGTCAAAGTGTCTAATTAGCTTTATGGTACTGACTCTAGTACAGTTACACATTCTAGGTACCATTCAAGGAAGTGAGAAGAGGGGAACCCAAAGCTTGTCATTTCAATGCCTGGCTACCTGTGAGTGTCATAATCTTAGTTTTGGAGAGATGGAAAGAGACTATTTACAAGGGCATGTAGTGACAGGACAAGGGGGAATGGATTCAAACTGAGTGTAGGTCTAGTTTAGATATTAGGAAGAAGTTCCTTACTTTAAGGGTGGTGCAGCTCTGGAACAGGTTGCTCAGAGAAGCTCTGGATGCCCCATCCCTGGAAGTGTTCAAGGCCAAGCTGGAGAGAGCTCTGAGCAACCTGGTCTAGTGGAAGGTGTCCCTGCCCTTGGAATTAGATCATCTTTAAGGTCTCTTCCAACCCAGGCCATTCTATGATTCTATGATAATGTATTTGCTATTAATACCACGGGCTGTGCTAAAGATAGAATTTGATTCTAAAAATCTAAGAGTAGGTATTTATTCCTTGGAACAATAGAGAAAATTGAAAAAATCGTAATAGCGCTGTCAGTATGATGAACTGCACCCTATCTCGAGAATGATACTTAGAAAAAGATCCTGAAAAATGCAGAAGACAAAAATGAGGCAAATAGGTTAGGTATGAGAAAATTTTGTACAATTAGAATGCCTAGGAGAATAGTAGAGATTAGACTGACGTAGTGAATATTTTGGGAATACAGGTAAGGTGCTAAATGGTGCAGCTTGGGGCAGTAGTTCATAGTAAGGGATAGACTAAAGTTGAAGAGCCTTGGGTGTTTGAAGCAATCTCATTAACACAAGGGTTTGTGTGCATCTTGCTGCTTGCAGCTGATAAATCAGAAATTAGATGTTGAAAATAAGAGTGCCAAAGGCCATAGTCTATCACATAGTGAATAGCAACTAGATGGGTCATTTCATTTTTTTTGAACTCAAGATCCTGCCGTCAAAGAACATGGCATCTTGCAGGATTTCTGCGGGCCCTCTTCAGTAATCTTCTCCTATTGGTCTTGAGTTTGAAATCCCATTAGTGGGATTTCCTGAAGCAAGTGGAGGTGACTGTTTTCAGACTATACAAAGTGAGAAGGACCATGATTTGGATTTGACCTATGCTTGCCTAGTACAGGAGCACAGTAACACCACAGATGAAAAACCTGGAAGTTTGTGAAACTGTTGTATAACAAGTCTTCCTGTAGGTCCATCAAGATCACTTTAAGAGATAACTTTGTTAATGATTGATATGCCAGAAAAATAAATAATAATTTACAGCTTTCAAAGAAGAATTACACAAAGAGGGGGGAGGAATATTTTGCTAGATGTGCTTGTAGGTAAAAGAAGAGTTAAAGAATAATTAAGGTTTCTGTGGCTAGTTTCAGCTGACAGTTTTTTTTACTTTTTTCTTAAAGGTTGTGGTCAAAACAAAAACAGAATATGAACCTGATCGCAAGAAGGGAAAGTTCCGTACACCTAAAATAGCTGAATTCACAATCAGCATCACTGAAGGGGTTTCAGAAAGATTTAAGGTAAGCAGTGCTGTCTGAAGATGTTAATAGCTCAGTTGTGTTCACAGAATTGCTTAAAATCAATTGCTGATTGTAGTCAGAACCGGCTGTAACAGAGTGCCTGTTGTGGGGATAGCTGGACATGAGAAAAATAAATTCAGTGTTATAATAGTTCAGTATGTAACAATTAGAAACAAAATCAAATCTTGAAGCATTATTGCTTGTAATCCCTCTCTAGCAGATGAATTCAGAAGGTGTTTCTGTCAGTGTGTGGGTTTCAGAACATGGCTGGCCAGGGTGTCTGCGGCCTGCACATAGGTAGTGCTCATGGCATGGATAAAACTCCTGTTTGTGCTGAAGGACAAGAACCACAAGAACATTTATTTTCTTTTTGGCTTCTTATTTATCACTGTGGCCAAACCATTCTCTTAAAAGCACTGTCATAGTCCATTATGTATTTTTTATGGTTAAGCGTATGACTTGGCAGCTGAGGGGTATATACCAGAGCTCTTTGCTGTCAGGTTTCCTGGTCCAATTAAATTGTAAAGCTTGGTGACAACTCTTACTGTCAGATGGTAGTTCACCAAGAATCTGACTCAGATTTACTCTTTAGTGTCCCTATTGCTTCCTTCAGTAGTCCCGTAGGAAACCTGAGAGCTTAACTGCTGCAAAGATTTAATTTCCCCCTTCTCACTGGAGATAGGTTTTCCTGCTCTGTGTAAGTAAAGCAAAACAGGAAAGTTGGTACTTCAATTCATGCTTCCCTACTTGTTCTTTTAACAAAGGAAGACTGCAGCTTTTCAGTGCTTTTAATTGGCATCTTACCCAAGGATTCCAAAGCGTTTTTAAACAGTAGGAAACCACACTCTTCCCTGCGCAAGTACAAATATATTTGGAAAGCCTAACATTTAGTATGAGGGAGAAATACAGAGATTCAGTAGAGATGTGGATTCTCTTTATATTGCATGCTTCTGAACTCTGCATGATAGGAGATTTTAGGGCACACCAGAGATTCTGGTTTTGTCATGCCTGAGCAGTGGTTCTAAAAGCTGCCCAGGCCCAAGCTGACCTTCAGAAGTGTATATACAGTTCTCAGTGAAATCAGAGCATGCTAAACAAACAAAGTGAAGGCTCAGGGAGGGATTAGAATATATTTGGAAAGGAACTTTGCAGAGTGTTGCCACGACAAATGTTTTAAGTGCCAGTTACCTGGTGGAGTTGTCAGCCACACAGTGAAGCATGTAGGTTCCTAGTAAGCTATATGGGGAACCGCCCTGGATAGCTAAGAAGAAATGATATGGGGTGTGGTAGGGTTTTACTAAGCAGGTAAGAAACTTATTTCCATTTTTTTCTATTCCCTGATTTGGGGCAAGGATGTCTATCCCTCAGGGAAAATGCTACATTCTGACTAATATGCTCTCTTTGTCCTCCTGGCACCATAGTACCACTCAGTCCTTGAGAGTAATCCCCTTCCTGTCAGGCGAGGGTTGGGAAAATGCAATTAGACAGCTCAGAACAAGGGGAACTTACGTCCGGCTGTCTTTGTGTGTGTCCTGGTCACACTGAGGTGACTGGAAAATGCTTACTATGTTGTAGAAGAGAAAGGGGAGAAAGTTTGAGTACCCTACTAGGACTTTGGTTCCAAGCAGCTGAGCAGATGAATTTTGCACTTACGCTTTAGCTGTAGGGACTAAGAGGTTTCATTGCTTGAACATTAAGATATCTTAATCACATCTAAGTGGTTTGCACATCCCTATGTAGATCTGTTTTTTTCTGTCTTTGTTGGGAGAGCTGAGCAAATGAGACCTTACTGAACAACAAATAAATAAAAAAGCTTATCATGCTGTTGGGTAGTCTTTTCTAATATATATAGCTGAACAGTTAGAAGCCTGAGCGTCTTTGCATTGCATTTTTATATACTTTCGGATGGCATACTTAAGTAAAATATCATTTAGATACTTTATGATGATCATTCTGGGATTAATCTCATACTACGGGGTTGCTAGGTTTTGCTGCTAGGTAACTACTGCATCAGAGGGAGGTTTCAGTAAGATTTGGTATCTCTTGGGAATTGCAGAGTGATTCACACTGTGGCTGTAAGTCTAGGCTTCTAAAGAAGAGTGTGGGGGTTGATCAATTAGGAAAATTGTGGTTCAGTTAATTGAAAACAATGTTCATGCAGAACATTCAGGTCCTAAAAATGTCCCTTAATCTCCATATAGCAAGTTTTAGAATTGAATTATGCTGCTTGAAACATTTTAAAGAGAACTGACTGGTTTTCCAGCAGGGATGACTGTCATATTCACCACTCCCAGTAGTAAATATTAGATGAATAATTTATGGCATTTCATAAATATGTAGATGAAAAGTACCGATTGTGTGAGGTTTTCTCCTGGGTCCTTATTAATTGTGAGTCATCATGTCAACTGCTGATGTTGATTCTGAGAGAGCAAAAAGATATTTGTCTGAAAATTAAATATTTGCTATAATTATGAAATGCATTATTTAACTGGTGAGATATTGACTTTGGCTCATGTTCATGAAAAGTTTCAGATGCTGTTTTAATGACTTCAGTATTGTAAATCACCAATGCACAAGCCTGCCACAAGACACAGCCCAAATGTTGTGCTAAAAATAAAGCAAGTCAGTCAGTCAGTCATATTTACAAATAGTTCACATGTGTATTCTAGATGTACTTCTTAAATAAGGACAAAGCAGATTGCAGTTTTGGGATTCAGCAGTGCAGATCATTTAAAGCTGTTCTTCTTGAGAAGTTATACATTATAACAAATGAAGCAACTCCAGCATGTGCATATGTCATGTAGATGGTGTTTTAGCACCTGGGTGAATAATCAATTACAAAATGTATTTTCTGCATTCAGTCCACATTACCACAGTTATTACAACAGAGCTGAGAATGTTTACAAAGAAAACTGCAAGTATAATTTTCTTCTATGAAGCGACATTCTGAATTCAAATCAGAATATCTCAGAAGAATGTGAAGATTTCCTGATTATGGGAACCCTGTTGTCTTACTTTAGTTTTATGGCACTAACCAGACTAAGAAAGATGTGATTTGTCACTGAAGAGTATTTGCCATTGATACATAGAAGTCTTGCCTTTGTACTTTGAAAGTGTAGGCTAATGTGGGGATTTGGTTCTTCACAAGTGGAAAGCAACTTTGAACGAGGCAGATTTCTCCCTCCTGTAAATTGTCTGCTGTACAGAGTAACACAACAAGGCTGGAAATGTCATTGCAAAGGACTCTTGTGAATCAGGACACAGGAGGAAGCTATGACAGAATAAAGTTGATGGTGTGAGTTACCCAAGGCCAAACCTTTGCTTCCCCCATTGACAGAGCAGTGTTCTTACAACCTCCAGTTGGATTTTGTAGTGGGATGTCTGTTCTGGCACCCACTGAATTGGGCTACAGTTGACAGTTATGCACAAACACACCAATTTAAAAAAATGTCTGTTGTAGCAATGCATGACATTTTTTTTCTGTCTTTGGGAAAATCTCAATAAAGAAGATTCAGAGGTATTTTGAAAGCAAACACTTATGTTTCCCTATAAACTTTAAGCCCTTAAATAAACCCAAGCTGTAGTATGCCTTCAGCCTTTTGGTTCTATTGAAAGGCAGTTCAGTTCTTCAGACTTTATCCTTGACATCTCTACATATATCTAACTGCAGAGCCAAAGCCTGAAGCTTATTTCTTTGGTACGACCATATGGTGCAAGCCGTGTACTATCAAGTAGCAAGCAGTTGTTGAAATGTCTGCACGAGGTTATGGAAGAGGAATTCAGACTGCTTTCAAGATCAGTTCTCGCAGTTTTACCTGGTCATTTTAAGACTGCAAAAATGTATGCAACATATATCTAACTATTCAGGGTTTTTTTCCTATCTTAAAAGGGGCATCCTTCAAGCATATTTCTGCCTCAAGACTTTTGTATCTCTTCTTAGTAATGCCAACAATTATTATTGCTGCAAAAATAATCAGAGACAAGGAAGATAGATCTCTCTTGCTGTGTGATTACTTTGTGTGTTGAGTAGCTCTTTGCTCCCACATTAAAAGTCTGTTAGGTGCATGAGATGTCTCCTGTACAGGATATCACTTCCTTAAGTACGTTGTGTCTGTCACTTTGGCTGGAAGAGTGACAGGTACTTACTTACTGTCAGTAGTTCTGTTTCTTCAGTAGAACTGCTCACAGGATTAAAGTTGTTCACAACTATAAGCGTTTGGCAGGCTTTGAATTTTTTCTTTATTGCTTAAAATAAGAAAAATAAAGGAGGTTCTTTTTTCAATGTAACTGCTATTTTAAAACAATTGATGCAAAGGCACTACATGGCAACTGTCACTTTTTTTTTTTCCTTAAATATTTGATACTCTCTGATATGGCATTGACAGTCGTCCTGCTAAATTTTTGGCTGAAAGGAATTTTTACAGTCAGAGCTGGAAGATTTAAATAAAGTGAATGCCTAACAGTGGCTTCCCTGTTATTAGTCAGGTCTCTGCTATTGTCTCTATTAGAAATCATTTTATTGGAAGAGAACCAGTGACATTGACAAAGATGTTTTGGATCTGTCCAGATATATCACTTAAATAGCCTTTCCTCTTCTGTAGTAACCTTAAGCAGCCTTTATCCTGGCCTCAGTAATATCTTCTGGGTTTGTATGTGAAGGTAGTAAGATTCTTATCTTGGTGCCACAGGGTTTCTTGAACTGCTTCCTCAGATCTCTGTAGTTAAGAAACTAATACAGGGTGCCATGTGATGGGAACATTGTCATGAACAGCTGAGTTAAGCCACAGTGCTAGGAACTCAAGGCCACTGCCTTGTTAACTTGTTTTTGTCTAACAGTATGTCCCTCAGGTTTCATTAATCAACTCCCTTGCAGACTGGTCCTGTTGCCTTGCACTGTTGCAGTTAATAAGTGCTGATTTTGTAGCTTCTTTTCTGTTACTGTCCTCATGAATCTATCTGCCTTTCTTGCTGCTACTCCCAATCATCTCCAGGTAGACATC